CACGTAGGTGGAGTGACTCGGCTCTCTTCTCAGAAGGTGGGGAGCCTCCAGGCACAGGCACACTGGGAGTGTGACAGGCCACCACAGCCACTCTGTGGTGCCTGGCTGTCTTACCCGGGCAGCACTTAATCCAGTCCACTGTTTCACACCGGAAGACTTGGGAATCCCAGGACTGCTCCGTCACTGAGCGTGACGTTCACAGGCTCGTGTCACAGGATAGAGTGGGAGAAGATGTTGGGTGCCAGGTCTGCGCCTGAGCCCCCATGGTAGTCCCATCATGGGATTGTCTGGTCTCTGCTTGCACGTGGGAAGGTGCAAGGTAGAAAGGTCATGGTCTGTCTGGCACCGGCTCAGAGAGACGTCCACTTGGTCGAGCTGGACTCTTCCATGTGTCATTTTGCTGAGGGAGCTTTCAGGCCCGCAAGGTCCTCTGGAACATCAGTGGAAAAGCCTGGCTCAGAGTCCTGGCTCTGGAAGCCCAGTTCTGTCCTTGGCCTCACAATCAAGTACAAATAGTCCCAAAGGAGGACTCAGTTTGGGTTCTTGCCTCAACTTGGCCACTTCATTTCCATTAAATGACATTGAATTGGGTTTACCATTAGCCCAGAGCCTACTGTGTGCCAGGCACTGACCTTACACACGGTGTGACCACAGGCAAATCCTTTCCTCTCCCTGCATTCCAGTTTTCTCATCTATAGAAGAAAACAAAAAACAGTAACTGCCGGGCGGCTCGTCTTTGGGGACTGTAGTGAGGATTAAAGGAGGAAAGGGAAGTAAAATTACCTTATAAACTGCCAAGTGCTGTGTACACAGGGGTGCTGTCGCTAAAGCTGACCCAGCTTATCGTGTGGTCCTCTGTACTTGGGGCACTGGTCGTCGTGCTGGAATCTGCTCCCTTTCCGGCCCTCCCTCCCCCAGTCTCCCTGAGACAGGAAGCTGTGGTTCATTTGTGATTTCCCAGATCTGACCTGGGCTAGGCATATGGCAGGTGCTCAACAGAGACCGTGAATGTCTCAGTTTGTGTGGGACGCGACAATTAAATAAAAATAACCCTGGTGGCTTAGAAACAGTAGGAATTTATTTCTCACAGTATTGGAAGCTGTGAAGTAGATGCAGTGTCAGGCCAGGGTCCGTTTCCTGGTTTTTGATGGTCATCTTTTTGCTGTGTCTTCCCGGAGCGGAAAGGGCACTAACCTCATTCATAAGGATTCCACCCCATGACCTAATCACAGCTCCAGATACCTCACATTGGGAGTAAGCGTCAACAAACATCCAGGCCGTGAACAGAATGAGTGATGGGATCTCATGCTCAAGGTGTCAACCACAGGGCACTGGAAAACCACAGGGCGTGGGGCTCAGTGAAAGAGTGGGTGGCTGGTGAGGAGGCTGTCCACTGTGTATGTGAATCACTGGAGAGGAGAGGGTGGGATACATTGAGAAGTAGGTGTGGCCTGGGCAAAGGTCAGGAGATGGAAATCCACATAGACCATGCAGGAGACACTGAGCGAGCAGGCAAGGAGGCTGGCAATGACAGATAAAGACAGAACATCATCATCCTCATAAGAGAAATGACAATTTCCAACACTCAGTACTTACTAAATTCCAGGCATTGCTCAAGTCATGGTGTATTGCCTCCTCAAACTCTTGGAGCAACCCTGGGAGATGGTGTCACACGTACCGCTAGGGGAGCCTGGTTCCTCAATACCTGGCGACAATTTCAACCTAAAGGCTTTCAGTTCTTCCAGGGACAGGTCCTTTTTAGCCTTTACTCAATTGACAAGCCAAATTACGTAAAATTAGTTTCTGAATTATTAGACTTATTGCAATGCACACGTAGAATAAGTAAAATAAGCAAAAGGAATACATGAAAGATTGGCAAAAATAAGTAAGAGAAAGTTACTTGAGCATGGCATGTTAATAGCAAACTAGACATTGTGTGTCCACAGAGGAAATTTCCTGAATGGCCTGGGAAACATACTCCTTCCAGGTCTGGGTTGCTGGAAGCCTTTGCCGCTATAGTGATGGGCTTTTCATGGCAGCAGGGTCCCTGGCACTGATTTTTGCTGCCCCAGAACATGTATTATCTTAGCTTCCAGATGCCAACCAGCCTCCAAGGGAAAAGTCTCAGCCCAAACCATGTCATCTGAACACTGGCACAGAGTGGTCGATGCGGTTTATGAGCCAGCCAGTGTGACATAACGGGCCACCTTGCTGTCAGCCAGTTACAGCCTGGGTTATAAGAAGCTCACAGAGAGGGAGTGCTGGCGAGGCCTAGTCACATCAACCATAATTAAATACCAATTTACTGATGTTCACAAGAAGTGTAACACAGCAAGGCACATGTCACAACAGGAGGGTACTACACAGACGAGGAATCACTCGCCCCAGTCATGGTGCCATTAAGTGGCAAAGCCGGATCTGATGTCACACAGCCTGACCCCAGAATCTGTGCTCTCTTTAACCTACTTTACGCTAGCGCCGCGGCTCACTAGGCTAATCCTCCGCCTTGCGGCGCCGGCACACCGGGGTTCTAGTCCCGGTCGGGGTGCCAGATTCTGTCCCGGTTGCCCCTCTTCCAGGCCAGCTCTCTGCTGTGGCCCGGGAAGGCAGTGGAGGATGGCCCAAGTACTTGGGCCCTGCACTCCATGGGAGACCAGGAGAAGCACCTGGCTCCTGCCATCGGATCAGCACGGAGTGCCGGCCACAGCACGCTGGCCGCGGCGGCCATTGGAGGGTGACCCAACGGCAAAGGAAGACCTTTCTCTCTGTCTCTCTCTCTCACTGTCCACTCTGCCTGTCAAAAAAAATAATAATAATAATAAAAAAATGATCCTACTAGGCATGGCCAAGGAAGCAAGGTTTCTGCATGGTGCTGAATGATGAGCAGAGGTTTGCTATGTGGACAGAGTAGTGAAGGCAGCCCAGAGAGAAATACAAAATGGCATAACGGGACCTGAGATTTCATGAAATGAAATGGTAGACAGGCAGGAGTTGGCACACTCTAAGGGTGTTAATTAAGCAAATCCAATATAGAATTTATAAAGTGACCTAATTGGGGTTGAGGAGAGAGTGTCCAAGTCACAGCACATAAACCTTTGTTCTTTAGCTGGCTTGATTCCTGGATGATTTCAAATGTGGCTCAATTTGGCCTTTACCCAACTTCTCAGTAAAAGGGAACCCAGGCTTTGGTGGGGGTGGGGGGTATGGAACCTGGCATAAGGAGGAAAATGAGCTAGAACACCCTAGGGCTGCCAGCTAACTGGGAAATGTTGACAAAAGCTTTGAAGAGCCCTGTGTGTTGGGTGGGGGAGGGCGGGGAAGTGGGTGAGAAATGGGACCAGGGAAGTGGTGCTTGAGGTTGGGTATGCTAGACTGAGAGCCGTGGCCCCTAAAAGCAGAGCCAGGCAGTACCACCTCAAGGCTTGGTTTGTCACCCTTTGTGCCTGGGGGAGGGAGGGTCCTGGCTGCTAAGGGTGCTCAGCGACCCTCTGGCTTCCACAGGTTGACTTTTCTCCTCAGGGGCCCTGTGGGTCCCTGTGCCCCAGACTGGGGTGTCTCTCCAGTGTCAGTGTCTTTAGGTTCTGGAGACTGAGCTCAGCAGGCTGTCTGCGTGGGTGGAGCTGCTGGAGCCAGGACCCTCCATTCAGGGAGCCTGTTACCAGGTTGTTTTGCTGAGGGAGATGATCATGGGCCACTGCCCCTGGCAGCCCTAAGTCCCCAGCAGACACACTGCAGTTCAGGAAAGGGATGGGCTGGTGCTCAGGGCCCAAGAGCCAAGAAACTGGCCCGACACTGACCCTGGCTGAGCTCCAGTTCCCGACAGCCTGTTTCAGGAATAACTCGTAAAAGAAATCTGGAAGCAATGAGGGAGTAAAGGGGCAGTTACACAAATACAGTGATTTAGGCCACACAATTTACGTCACAGTGGCTGTGTCCTGGGCTGCAGAGTGGGGCGTAGACACAGGAAGGCCGTGGTCCCTGCTGCACAGGTGGAGCAGGGGCAAGAGGCTGGGGCGTTCACCAACGGCCAGCGGGCCCTCGGTGGTCCTGAGGGTAAGGGTTGGGAGTGAGGTGGCCGAGATGCAGGACCCTGTGCCTTGGACTGCCCTTGCCCATCCCTCCTGGCCATCCCTATGCACGTGTGGGCCCACAAGCTCATGTGTGCCCAGAGTTGCCCCTTCAGCTGGGAGGTGACCCTTGGCCCTGAAAAAGGCCAAACTGAGTCCTGGTAAGGGCACTGTGGGCTCTCACTCCTGGGAAGCACATCCCTGCTTCCCAGCTGACACTCATCCAATGCACTGTGGGCCTGGCTGGCACTGCAGGGCCACCTCAGCTCCTTCCCACAGCAGGGTATGTGTGGGCTTGAGGAGCTTGTGCTGAACATCCCAACTGTTACTCCTGTTCTGTGGCCCTGCATGCATGCCCACCCTCCCCTCCACCACCACTCCCACCAGCCCGCCTGCCTGCCGGTCTCTGCTCTGTTCCCACGATGCTTTTAGTGCTCATTCTGTCACAGTCCAACCTAGCCTCAAAGGCCCCCCTTTGCCCATTCCTGAAGCCCTTTCTGAGGATGAAGCTCTTTTCTGGACTGAACTTGGCTGCTCTGTGGCCGCAGGCCCGCCCCCCAAAGCACTCTGTAAGGGCCTGTGAAGCTGTACCCTGCTGGGATTCTCTTCCCGCTGAGGGGGCCACCCTGAACACCTCCTGCCAGACTGTTGAATGATATTATTATTATTATTTTATTTGAAAGGCAGAGAGAGAGAAAGAGTGAGAGAGCACAAACACACACAAGCCTATGTGCCTGGATGGTGAGGGATTTCTACATCCACCAACTTATTTAAGTTGATGAACTCTGGGAGGTGGGGGTGTGATCCAATGATGATACAAATCGCAGAGGCTCATGGAGGTTACATGGCAAGTGATGGAGCCAAGATTCAAACCTGAGTCACTCTCACCCTAGGCTGTGTTTTTTTTCCCCCTCCTTGTGAGCAGTCACAAAATCATAACAACCATTTATCATTTATTCTCACACACATTATTTCATTTGCTCCTCACAACAGCCCTGTGAGGTAGGTAGGGTTACGTGTTACTGTTATGCCCATTTCACCGATGAAGATGTGGAGGTGGCTCAGTGAGGTGAGTGACAGGCACAAAGTCACACAGCATGTTAGTGGCTTCACAGGTTCCACATTTTCTCTCTAGAGTCAAGCTGCTTGAATTAGGAAGCACCAGAAAGATGGGAAAAGAGAAGTTTTATGGAGAGGGGAAAAAAAGGGCAGTGGTGATTTATAATAGTTTTTTATTCTCAAACTGTTTTGTTGTGGTCACAGCTTCTGTGGCTTGGTCTAAAGTGGGTTCTCTTTGAGGGTCTTTCTAGAATGCTGTTGGCCTGGTGGCCTGTGACAGCTGTAAGATATTCCGAGGTTCACTGTAGGGAAGGGAAGGCCTGGATAAGCCATTAAGGGGCCTGGCTATGCTCAGAGCCCAGCGTACAAGCTCCCAACTCACAGGGCCAAAGAGAGGAGGCCTCTTCCTTGGCTTTGTCTGAGGGCCCCTGCCCAGCAGGGAGGACTTCGGGCTGCCATGGCCCTCCTCACTCCAGGGGTGAATCATAATTACGTGCAGGTCTGAGGCCTACACTGCTCATAGCCCACTGGGTTTTGGCTTTGGGCTTCTATGCCCAGACTGTAACCCAACAAGGCCCATGTACTACTTCTGAGCACACCCCCACAGAGGAGGGCATGGAGTCCTAGGGGCTGTACACCCGCTCCAAGGGCAGTGCTATGGTTCAGACCGCTGCTGTGCTCCCTACTGCACACTGCCCTCCGAGACCACACCTCCTTCTGCAGGCCCCCCACTAGGGGTGGCAAGTCTGCTCCTCCAAACAGAAAATGGTCAAAAGGCATGTGGAGCCATGGTTGGTGGGGAAGATGGGTGAAGTGAGGGTCACATACACACACACACATGGTGAGGACATGACACAGGGGACTGACAGGGGTAGAAGAAGGTGAGCAGAGCTTCTGCAGCAGATTCCACAGTCAAGTCTGCGCTCTTGAGTAATGCTAAGCGTCTGGTCTCTCAACGTGACTGTTTTCAAGGTGAAGAAATGCACTTGGATGAAAACGAGGTTTCTGCGGCCAAGATCCAGCACAAGGAAGTGGCAGGTCAGATCCTGGCTTAATAGAAGGAAGAACTTCCTACCAGCCACACCTTCTACCCCTGGGGGTGCTGCCCTCATCAGAGGTATGCCAGCCAGCCTAGGCCATCCCTTGGGGATACCTGGGCAGAGGCACTCACCCCCAAAGGTGCTGAGGCCAGAGGACAGCTAATCAACCACTGAATTATTTTCCAACCCTGAGAGTCTGTAAGAGCCTCGTTTAGACTGACCTCTTTTGGGGATAACTCAAATTATGGGGAAAAGGATTACAAAAGTCAGGCAGCAGGCTGGATGATGAAGTGCCTTTCATTACCCTGGCTCCAGATACTTGCACATTTTCATAGAGACAGCAGCCCATTTCTGAAGCCAAAAATCCCTCAAGTTGGCCCCACCTTCTGGAGCCTGCTCACTCCTCCAAGCCCAGGCTGCAGCTCAGCCTGGCCCCAGAGGGGCCAGTGGCAGAGCTCTGAAAATACACTACATTCCAGGCCGGCCAAACATGACTGCCCTGGGCAAACAAGTCCCAGGTGCTGGCTGCATCCCTAGGGAGGGAAGAGCAGGTGCGGCAGGAAACGCCAAGTACATTATGTCTTCTTAAACCATTCCCTCTGCCTGTGGCCCTTTTTATAGATGGGCAAATGGGGCATTGGCTGGTGGGAGAGAGACCTGGAGCACGTGAGAAAACTGCTGCTCCTTTGTCCTGGCCAGAAAGTCCTCCCATGGTCTCCTCTAGGGGACCTCAGCTGACTCTTCCCTTGTCATAATAAACTGTCCATCTCCAGCTCAAAATGGCAAGAACAAAGGTGGTTCTGGTTAGAGGACATGTGAATTCCAAAAGGCAGATTTCATCCCGGGGGAATCAAGTCCTGCTATGCAATTAATACGGATTAGTAGAGTCCCCTGCCTTGCATCACTGGCCAGACACTCTCCAAGACCTTGGCTGGCATGGAGTTTCTTGAGACCTCCCCATTACCGTGTTGCTGAGGTCTTTTACCTGTACCGTATTAATCGAATAATCTTATTATTCATAAAATCCAGAGCATGTGGGTGAGAAGAATCGATGCAGAAGCCATCACTCAGAGCAATTTTCAGCACTTCCTCCACGAAGACCTGGAAACTATTGATCTGCTTGTTGGCGGGCACCACCCACAGCCTCTTGAGGTTCTGCTTGGTGTACTCTTCCTCTGGCAGGCCCTCCACAGTGGCCACCCAGTCCAGAGTCAGGTGGTTGGGGTCCTGCAAGTGGCTGGTGATGGAGGAGAGATTGCCGTTGGAGCAGTAGAAGAGCTTGGAGCCTAGGAGCTTGAGGAAGAGGCAAGAGGTGCTGAAGATGTTGGCATTGAAGACCTCCATGCTGGAGGACGACAGGCTGTAGATCTGGGGTGCCTCACGCACAGTGAAGTGGACCGTCTGAACCCGCTTCTTGAGTGTGATGTTGAGCATGGCGTTCTTCTCTGCCTTGGAGAGCTCCACCTCCTTCTCCTGCAGTGCCTCAATCAGGGGCTGCACCTGGTAGAAGTCAGCTTCCCGGCAGAGCAGGCCCATCTCCTGGAAGTCCTCAGGCAGGTCCAGGTGCGAGGTCCGCAGGAAGTTGAGGATGTAGCGGAACACTTTGCCATCACGGTCAATGAAGCAGTTGCCCTGGCTGTCCCTCTTGGTGGGCATCTTCCCACTGAACATGGCACCCAGCATGGAGTCGGGGAAGCTGGTCAGCGTAGCCAGTGAGGTGGTGTAAAGCTTCCCCCCAACATTCAGTGTGATGGGGTCAGACATGGCAGGAGGCTGGGGTGCTGGGAAGTATTCCTACAGAGGGCAAAAAGCGAGATGTAAATACTATACAAACACATCTGGGGAGTCATGGTCCTTGGTGTTGAGATGAACTAACACCTGATGGATGCTGACAACTGCCACAGTGTGGAAAGCACATTAGGTTTACCAGGGAGCTAGAAAGAAAGGGAAAGGAAAGAAAAGGAAAAACATTCCAATTTCCTGGAGTCTAGAGCTGTGCCAATCTGAAGCCAGAAGCCAGGAGCTTCCTCCAGGTCTCCACACAGGTGCAGGCACCCAAGCACTTGGGCCATCCTCTACTGCCTTCCCAGGCAATAGCAGAGAGCTGGATCGGAAGTGGAGCAGCTGGGACTTGAACCGGTGTCCATATGGGATGCTGGCACTGTAGGCAGTGGCTTTAATTGCTATGCCACAGTGCTGGCCCCTGAAAAGAGTGTTTTTTTTTGTTTTGTTTTTTTTTTAAATACCAATGCCTGGGGCTGGTAGAAGATGGCCCAAGTACTTGGGCCCCTGCACCCTTATGGAAGACCCAGAGGAAGCTCCTGGCTCCTGGTTTCAGATTGGTGCAGTTCTGGCCACTGCGGCCATCTAGGGAATGAATGAGTGGATGACCAGATGGAAGATCTCTCTTTCTCCCTGCCTCTGCCTCTCTGTAACTCTGCCTTTCAAACAAATAAATAAATCTTTTTTTTTTTTTTAAAAAAAGCTCCTTTTGTGATTCTAAATATTCAAGGAAGAGAGAGAAGAATGGAAAATGTGCTTGGACTGAGAGCTATCCTGTATTCCTTTACGTGTATTTGCTACATAACAGTTTATCACCTTTTGGTATAGGTAAAACCATCATCCAACCCTGTTGTGCACATGAGAAAAACTGCCAGGATCCCTTCCACATACAGAGAGGAAGTGCCTTGTCAGCATTCCAACTCAGGACCCTTAATATGAAAGAAATGTGTCAACGCGGCCGGCGCCGCGGCTCACTAGGCTAATCCTCCGCCTAGCGGCACCGGCACACCGGGTTCTAGTCCCGGTCGGGGCGCCGGATTCTGTCCCGGTTGCCCCTCTTCCAGGCCAGCCCTCTGCTGTGGCCAGGGAGTGCAGTGGAGGATGGCCCAGGTGCTTGGGCCCTGCACCCCATGGGAGACCAGGAAAAGCACCTGGCTCCTGGCTCCTGCCATCGGATCAGCGCGGTGCGCCAGCCGCAGTGCGCCGGCCGCGGCGGCCATTGGAGGGTGAACCAACGGCAAAAGGAAGACTTTTCTCTCTGTCTCTCTCTCTCACTGTCCACTCTGCCTGTCAAAAAAAAAAAAAAAAAGAAATGTGTCAACGCTCACCAGCCAAGGACTGGTAGCACCAAGTACTTCACAAATGCTCTGGGAGCTGGGACTCCAGGCCCAGTGCTCTTTCTATTCTATCAATGCTGCTTCTCTCAAAGACCTGACAATGAATGGCTGTGATCAGTGACGTCTCCACCCTTCTATCAGGGACCAAGTGGGTCACTCGGTCCCCAGGACTCCAACTGATAATCCTGGATGCTCACTGTTCCTAGGCCATTCCCACAGAGATGCTCTTGGCCATTGAGGTGTGTCCTTTCCTGCCATGACTCAGTTTCCTACCTCCTCTGAAACTAACAGCAAGGTCAGTGCATATATGGGACCCTGCCCATAGCACTCTTCCTGGAGGCATTCTACCTACTCTTTCTTTTCTTTCTCTTTTCCTTTGTAGATCTTTTTAAAAAAATTGAGTTTTATTTGAAAGAGGGGGAGACAGAGAGAAAATCTCCCTCCTATTGGTTCACTCCTCAAATGTTTGCAATAGCCAGGCCTGGGCCAGGCCAAAGCCAGAAGCTCCCATGTGGTTAGCTGGAACCCAACCACTTGAGCCATCACCCACTGCCTCCCAAGGTGAGCGTTAGCAGGCAACTGGAACTGGGATTTGTGCCTGGACTTGAACTTGGACACTCCAATATGGGATGTTGGCATCCCAAGTGGTGCTTTACTGCTGCGCCAAATGCCCATCCCCCTACTCACTCTTTAAAAAGCCTCCTGTATCCAGAGTTGGTGAGTCTCCTTCAACCTGAACTCTTGGATTCTAACTTCTCTTTAAGGTTCTAGAAAGCAGAGGATTTATCTTTTCCCCAAGAGCCAACCTGTGGATAGATTCAGCAATTTTCTTTGGACTCTGGGGGCTGGGAGAACCCTTACAGTGTGGATATGGTTTTCCATGTGCTGGAAGGTTGGTCCCTGGGTGGCAGTGTACCTTGAACAGGTGGGGCCTTGTGGAAGGTGATTAGGTCACAGGGGCATTGCCTTCAGAAGGGACTAACACAGTTCCTGCAGATCCTGGTTTATTCATTCGAGAGCGAGTTATTCTAAATAGTGAGCCCTGAATCTCTCTTGCTTCATGTCTTGGCCAGGTGGTCTCTGCCTCTTCTTGTACCTGCTCCCACATGATAGCATCTGTCATGCTGTGATGTAGCCAGAAGGCCATCACCAGAGCTGAGCTGATGCTGGGATGAACTCTGGGACCCCCGGAACTGTGAGCTAAATACATCTCTCTCTCTCTCTCTCTTTCTTTTTTTTACAGACTGCCCAGCTTCAGGTATTTTGTTAGAGCCGCAGAAAATGGACTTAGACACCGAGAGGAATCAGTCCCAGTGCTGCTCTTAAGAGCCCAGGTAGTAGGGGAGACAAGAGACAGCAAAGACACAGCTTGAATATATTTGGTCCCTAAACTCATGTAGAAGTGTAAACCACAAAGTAATACATTAATGGTACTAAGAGGGTGAACACTTAATCCAGTTATGGTATTTAGAGTTGGGGTCTTTGGGAAGTGGTTAGATGGGATGAGGTCATGAGGGTGGAGGGGTCACACCGGAATCCCAGTGACTTTTTAGGAGGCAACAAAGTGCAATTCCTACCTCTTGTCATGTCATGTTCTGTGCCACTTCAGGACTCTATCAGCAAGAAAACCATCGCCAGGGATGAGCTGGGGGCACAGCTTGATCTGAGATGTGAACCTTTACAACCAGGAGTCAAAATAAATCCCTCTCCTTTATAAAGTTAGGCTGCCTCATGTATTTCATTGTCATAATGAAAGGCTGATGAATACACACACTTACCAAGACACAGCACCTAGAGCTGCAGGAGTAAGTCAGGAATGGATGCTGGTGCATCAGGGAACATCTTACCAGGGCTGCATACCACGCAGCGTGGGAACAGATCTCAGCGGGAGGCCTTTCCCCAAGTTCTCTCCGCAGGAGTGGCAAACACTTCTGCGTCAGTGTGCTCAAGAGCCTCATTACACTGAGATACCCTGACACCCTTTGTCTACAGCATGAGGGCCGTGGCAGGTATTGGAGATGCTCAGCTGCCTGGCGCCTGGTTAACTCTCTGGGTCCCTGTGCAATTCCTTCCCAGTCTAATGGGACACTCTGCCAGCCTCTTAATTTGAAAATCAGAGAGGGAGTGGCCGGCATTGTAGCATAGCAGGTTAAGCCTCGGCATGTAATGCCAGCATCCCATAAGGTCAAGATCTGGCTGTCCCAGTTCCAATCCAGCTCCCTTCTAATGTGCTTTGGAAAGCAGCGGAAGATGGCCCAAGTGTTTGGGTTCTGTACCCATGTGAGGAGACCTGGAGAAGCTCCTGCCTTTCAGCTTTGGCCTGGCCCAGCCCCAGTTGTTGCAGCCATTTGGGGAGCCAGCAGACAGAAGATCTCTCTCTTTCGCTCTGTCTCTCCATCTTTCTAACTTTGCCTTTCAAATAAATAAGAAATAAAAAAATCTAAAAAAAGGAAAAAAAAAATCATGGAGAGAAAAAGAGAGAGAACAGGAACTGGAGGTAGGCTGGGCTGAAGCCAGGAACCTGGAACTCCATCCAGGTCTCCCACATGGGTGGCAAGGACCCAAGTACTGAGCCATCATCTGATGTCTTAGCAGGTATGTGTTATCAGGGAAGTGGAATTGGAAGCAGAGCCAGTTGATATGGGATGTGGGCGTCCCAAGCAACACCCTCCCATTTTTTCAAAAAGATTTATTTATTTATTTCAAAGTCTGAGTTACATAGAGAGAGGGAGAGAAATCTTCCACATGCTGATTCACTCCCTTGATGGCCACAACAGCCAGGGATGGGCCAGGCCAAAGCCAGGAGCCAGGAGCTTTATCCAGGTTTCCCACATGGGTAGCAGAGGCCCAAACACTTGGGCCAACTTCTGCTGCTTTTCCTAGGCCATTAGCAGGGAGCTGAATCAAAGCTGAGCAGCTGGGACATGAACCAGAGGCCATATGGGATGCTGGGGTTGCTGGCAGGGGCTTTTACTTGCTATGCCACAGCACCGCACTTCCAGCGACATCTTATCTGCTGCACCAATGCCTGCCTTTAGCAGAGACTCTGATGCTGCAGGATGGCATTAGCCATTGGGAGTGTCTGAAGTCCATGCAGTTCCACAATCAGCAGCAGATGCTTGGGGCAGAGAGTGCCAAGATTGTATGGAGGTCTTTCTACTTTTTACTTGTTGAAAATTATGCTTAGTGGTGCATTAATCCAGTGATTACATAGTGGACTGAAATTATATTTTTGCAAAAATTAAAGAAAAAAAGAAAGGATGGAAGGAGGGGGGTTGAAGAATGAAGGGGGAAAAAGGGAAGTATGCTTATCTTCTTAGAATTGTACTTATGGGGCTGGCGCTGTGGCATAGTAGGTTAAGCCTCCACCTGCGGTGCCAGCATCCCATATGGACACCAGTTTAGGTCCTGGCTGCTCCACTTCTGATCCAGCTCCCTGCTAATGCCCTTGGGAAAGCAGCAGAAGATGGTCAAGGTGCTTGGGCCCTTGCACCCATGTGGGGACCTGGATGAAGCTCCTGGCTTTGGCCTGGCCCAGCTCCAGCTGTTGTGGCTATTTGGGGAGTGAACCAGCAGATGGAAGACCTCTGTCTTTCCCTCTCTAACTCTGCCTCTCAAATAAATAAACCTTTAAAAAAAAAAAAAAAAACCCTGTACTTATGAAACACATGAAATCTGTTCTTTATATTAATAAAAACTAAAAAAAAAAACCAAAAACAGATGGTGGGTGAGTTTCCAGAGAACGGTGGGCAAGCTGCTGTAGAACGGGTGGCAGCTAGGGTCGAGGCTGCCTTTTGGAAGAGGCAGCTGAGGAGGGTGCTAGGGGCTCAGGGCTGAATCAGACAGGAAGTGGACTCAGGAGTGGGTCACTTCCTTATTCATTCCAGAATCTTCTTTTTCCTCTCTGGTTCCTTCCTCTCAGCACTCTAGTCTGCTCCAACTGCTTTTCTTTCTAGATAGCAATGTTCATATTCTAGCTTTCGGTCTTCCTCCTCAACAAACACCACCGTCCTCTCTACCAACAACACTGGATTTCTGGCCTAGGCTCTGGGGAGAGGCTCAGCTCTGAGGGCAGGGCAGGTGCAAGCACTGGAGAAGGTGGAGGTCTTTCCTGACAGTTCAGGGGCTACAGACCCTGTATCTCCTTGATCTGTTGGTGCTGAAGTGCTCAGGGCACTGTGGGTGAATGAGGTGGTCAGCAGTCACAGGGCATTCCTAGGGACCCTTGGGTGGGTGCCTCAACTATTTTTCTGCAGGCAAAAGTAGTGAGCACTTGGGGCTGACGTTAAGCCATAGCAAATTAAGCTGCCGCCTGTATCACTAGCATCCCTAAAGCTGGTTTGTGTCCTGGCTGCCCTACTTCTGATCCAGCTCCCTGCTGATGGCCTAGGAAAAGCAGTAGAAAATGGCCCAAAGTACTTGGACCCCTACCACCCACATGGGAGGCCCAGAAGCTCCTGACTCCTGCCGTTAGCCTGGCCAAGCCCTAGATGTTGCAGCCATTTGGGGAGTGAACCAGCAGGTGGAAGATCTCTCCATAACTCCACCATTTCTTTAAAAATTTATTTATTTGAGAGGTAGAGTTACAGACGGAGAGGTGAAACAGAAAGTTCTTCTGTCTGCCTGGTTCACTCCCCAAATGGCTGCAGTGGTCAATCGTAGGCAGATCCAAATGCAGGAGCCAGGAGCTTCTTCTGGGTCTCCCACATGGGTGCAGGGGCCCAAGCAACTGGGCCATCTTCTCCTGTTTTTCCAAGCTGCAGCAGAGAGTTGGATTGGAAGAGGAGCAACCAGGATGCAAACCAGTGCTCATATGGTATGCTGGCATCACAGGCAGAGGCTTAGCCTACTATGCCACAGCACCGGCCCCAAATAAATAAATCTTAAAAAAAAGTAGTGTGCACCCAATTTCTTGCCGCCACCATGGTGAGCGGCAGTGACATAGCACTCAGGGGCAGAGGTTGATAGAAGAGAAGGCAGATCTCTCTCCTCCAGGTCTAGGGTGCTTTCTGTGGCATTGGTTTCTCTAAGCCCCATTCCCAGGGCCATGGCATCCCTGATCTCAAATCCACAGGCCCTGCTAGGAAAGGCACAATGGCATGACTCACAGAGGCAGGAGCTGGCAGCTCCCAGGAGCTGTGCTTCGTAGCTTGGTGGCAAGTTTGCAGTTGGTGGTGATGCACAGATGCCACCGAGCTCCTGCTCTCCCCATCCCCACCCCAACCACGCCATGTACTCCACTTCTTCCTGGCCATCCCCATGGATACTGCACAGTATCCAACACAGAATTCCCCTGCCCCAACCCTAATGTGGACTCTTCTCAGCCAACCAACTGCCCCGAGTTCACGACAGAGGAAGCAGCCCCAACTTTTCAGCCCAACAATTTGTTTTTACTCTGTTTCCTTGGACCATGCCTAGAAATCTTCCTGGAACTTCGGCTCATGTCTGCTCTGCCTACACCTTACCTCCTTAGGCAGCTCCCTGCTGCTTGCCCACCTTCCATTCCAGTCTCCTGAAGCACCACTCCCTCACCAAAGCACTTTGCTCTTCCAGTCTCACCTCTAATCCTTCTCCATCTGCTGATTCACTCCCCAAATGGCCACAAAGGACTGAACCTCCAGCAGGATCTCCCACATGGGTGGCAAGGATCCAAGTACTTGGGGCATCTTTTGCTGCTGTCCCACGTCATTAGTAGGGAACTGGATTTGAAGCAGAGCAGCTGGGACTCAGACTGGCACTCATATGGGACGCTGGCATCGCAGGCACTGGCTTAATTCACTGTGCCGGCCCCCAAAGATTATTAAAATTCATGTAACTACCCTTAAGAAGGGTCAATTTTATTTTTAGTTATTTTTTTAAAATATGTATTTATTATTTGAAAGGCAGAGTTATAAATAGGGAGACAGAGAGAGAGAGAGAGAAAGAGAGACAGAGAAGGAAGAGATCTTCTATTTGCTGGTTTATGCCCCAAATGGATGCAATGGCTGGGACTGGGCCCAGCTGAAACCAGGAGCCAGGAACTTCTCTCAGGGCTCCCATCTGGATGTAGGGGACCAAGTGCTTGGGCCATCTTGCATTGCTTTCCCAGGAGCATTAGCAGGGAGTGCGATCAGAAGTGGAGCAGCCAGGAATTGAATGAGTACCCTGTAGGCAGAGGCTTACCCTTCAATCCAACAGCACCGGCCCAGGTGAATTTTCCTGTATATAAATTATGTTCCCATAAAATGGGAAAATATGAAGGTTATAACAGTAAGTCTCATATGAAATCAATACTGGTTGTGATCAGTCATACATACAATTGTGAAACTTTTAGTTATGTGTGTGAAATGCATCATGATCTAATATGGTTTTTTTTTTTTTTTTTTTTTGACAGGCAGAGTTAGACAGTGAGAGAGAGAGACAGAGAGAAAGGTCTTCCTTTTCCGTTGGTTCACCCTCCAATGGCAGCTACGGCCGGTGCGCTGCGCCGATCCAAAGCCAGGAGCCAGGTGCTTCCTCCTGATCTCCCATGTGGGTGCAGGGCCCAAGCACTTCAGCCATCCTCCACTGCCTTCCCGGGCCACAGCAGAGAGCTGGACTGGAAGAGGAGCAGCCGGGACAGAATCTGGCGCCCCAACCGGGACTAGAACCTGGGGTGCCGGCGCCGCAGGCGGAGGATTAGCCAAGTGAGCCGTGGTGCCAGCCTCTAATATGTATCTTCATACTATGGGTTGTGATTGTAAAGGAGAGTAAAAACTATCCTCCAAAACTATGTCTATGAAATAAACCAATAGTAGACAGATGAACAGAAGGAAAACCATTTTAATTAGAGCACAGGAATCCACAAAATTAGACTTTAAACTACACCTGAGTTCATGTCAATAAGGCGAATTCTGGATAGCCCCAAGGATGGGGGCTGGTTGCTAGAGGAACCAATCATGTGATTAGAGAACTGGAACTTTCCCCATTCACCCCCTCACCTTGAGGGAATGGAGCCACAATCACCAAGGCCAATGATTTAATCCACCACGTGCACTTAATGAAGCCTCCATAGAAATCCACAATGGTGGCTCTGACAGCTCCCCAGCTGGTGAAAATGTGGAGAGCCTGGAGACAGCACAGAAGCGCCAGGCCCCTTCCACTATACTTGCCTGATACCCAGATTCCCATCTAGTGTTCCAGAGGCATATCTTCTTTTAATAAATGGGTAATCTAGTAAGAAATTCTTTCTCTGAATTCTGTGAGCCATTCTTGCAAAGCGTCAAACCTGAGGAGATCACAGCAACCTCCAGGGTATAGCCATCGGGGAGTGAGCCAGTGGAGGGATAGACTTCCCCGATTCTGCTTTTCAAATAAAATACATACATCTTTAAAAAATAATTAAAAATGTAGAAAAGCACTAAATGCTCTCCACAAGAGACGAGATCCCAGGAAGGCCCCAGCTCCTCTACGGCTGACACACAGCAAGCCCACCAAGCAGTCTAGACTGTCCTACTTCTTCAGCAATTCAGGATAATGATAAAGCAGTGAAACACAAAAATGCCAGGTTTTTAAAAGCTAGATTGGAAAAGCTGACTGGATGGGGCTGGCGTACGGAGTACCGGGGAAAGCCACTGCATGTGATGCCAGCATCCCTTAAGGGCGCCGGTTTGAGTCCCGGCTGTTTCCTGCTAATATGCCTGGGAAAGCAGCGGGGGATGGCCCAAGTCCTTAAGTCCCTGCACCTTTGTGGGAGACCTGAAAGAAATTCCTGGCTCCTGGCTCCTGGCTCCAGCCTGGCCCAGCCCTGGCTGTTGCACCCACTAGGGGAGTGAAACAATGGATTGAAGAGCTCTCTCTCTCTGTACTCTGCCTTTCAAAAAAAGAAAAGAAAAAGGTTGAATGGAAATGTAAACTGAGCTGGGTAGCAGAAAATAAAGGAAGCCCCACATCGTCTGAAAGAGCAGGTTTTTTGTTTTGTTTTGTTTTGTTTTTCCCAGCGGGAGACTTTCCAAGAGGTAAATCTGAAGTTTGCCTGGAAAAGAACCAGGAAGCAGACTGCTCTAACTGCCTCCTTGCGGAAAGCGCTGGTGTCAGACCAGCAGATTATACCGCGGCGCTCCTCAGGCCAGCTGATGGGGCAGGAAAGGCCAGGGTGCCTGGGGATCTGGAGCTGTGGCTGAAATGAGAGGGTGCGCAGGCTGGCACTGTGGGAAGGAGCAATTTCAGTCTGGGGCCTGAAAACCACCCTGCTGCAACCTATAATTGTGACACAGAAATCTTTGAGAGGGGATACCTTGTAAGAAGTGTGGCTGTCTCCTCTAAAATTCTGCCGTGACACCCACAGTCCCTGCAGGGCACATGAGGGAAATAGCTATGTTTGACGAGTACTCAGTGTGTACCAAAATGGGTGCTAGGGGGCTGGTGCTATGGCATAATAGGTTAAGCTTCTGCCTGTGGTGCCAGTATCCTGTATGGGTGCCAGTTTGAGTACTGGCTGTTCCACTTCCAATCCAGCTCCCTGCAGATGGCCTGGGAAAGCAGTGGAAGATGGCCCAAGTGCATAGAAGACTTGGAGGAAGCTCCAGGCTCCTGGCTTCGGATCAGTACAGCTTCGGCTATTGCGGCCATTTGGGGAGTAAACCAGCAGATGGAAGACCTCTCTCTGTAACTCTGCCTCTCAAACAAATCTTAAAAACAAAAAATGGGTGCAAGGTATTATATATTTATCAGCTCATCTAAGCCTTATTAACACTACTTCAGAGTGTGGGGAGTCAGACTGGTTAGTAGGCAGTCAGGGTGGTCCTGGTAGAGGTTTAGGGTGCAAAATGTTTGCTTTCCCTGAGGTTGTCTTTAGCAAGGTCAAAAGTGCTTGCCTGGGGCCGGTGCTGTGGTGTAGCAGTTAAAGCTGCCGCCTGCAGTGCCGGCATCCCGTATGGGTGCCGGTTCAAGTCCCGGCTGCTCCACTTCTGATCCAGCTCTCTGCTATGGCCTGGGAAAGTAGAAGATGGCCCAGGTGTATGGGCCTTACTCCCGTGGGGAGACCTGGAAGAAGCTCCTGGCTTCTGGCTTCAAATTGGCCCAACTCTGCCATTGTGGCTCATGCTCATCTTGCTTTCTGAATGTTATCTATCTCTTGTAAAAAGAAACCAGGGCTTCCTGGAGAAACTGAAGATTCCAGGATTTTGACAAGAAAAGTTCAAGATGAGCCTGGGATTTCTCTTGCCTGAGAGCAAAGACACAATCAAAGACTAGTGAGGCTATATTAAAAGAACCCAGGAGCTGAAGGGACTCATGCTAGCCAAATGTAGGATGATCTGAGCATCCAAAAGATTAAGGATGATAATAGATTCTAGCAAATTGAACTTTAACCAAAAAAAATCATGAGTCCAACCAAAAAGAAAAGAGGGGGAGGAGAAACAGAGAGGGGAGAAAAGTTATTTTGTAAACAAGAATCCCAGCTAATAAATACAGAAGTAATGGCAAAATCAGGACATGGATTGTTTTGCAACTCTCTGTTGCAATTCAGGCAAGGGTCAGGAAAGGATGTTGTGTGAGAGGTTCTCAGGAGCACACAATTCCCATACTCAATGAATCATGCCATGGCTTACTCAACTAATTGCAAAGGGGGGATTTCACCCTTACAATGGGTGAGAGACCTGAGCCTGGATCAAGGTGCAGCTATTTTAAAATAGGCCTCCATCTTGTAACTTGGGCCTGACCGGGACCTGAACCCTAAGCCAAAAGCTCCTAAAAATAAATAAACGAACTCCCCTTGCAATAAACTCCCCTAGCAACAGCCAATCAGCAGACAGCAGGGAAATACCTAAAGTTCTAGGCATCTTTTCAGGACAGTTAAGGTGATTGATAACATCCCCAAACCCTGCAGTTTGGCACGTACACCCCAGCAGCTCGGACCCTATACTTTAGCCAATCAATTTAAAAGGCATCAACCCCAAAGCCAAGCAACCACCTTTACTAGGTCCATTCCTGCCACTGGATATACTAATCAGTTCTAAGAGATGTTCTTTGAATTTCCCGCGGAATGAGATGATTTGCTAAATGGTACTATAATGTATAGAATGCTCTGAAAACCCTATAAAAACCCTGTTAACTGAAGAGTCAGGGCTCTCAATGCAAATCTGCTGCGCCGGTGATGGCTGAGAGTCCAGACCCGGGGTTGCAATAAAACTCTCGTGTATTTTATAGCGGCTCCTTGGTGGTCTTTGGGGACAATTGAACTGGGCATAACATGGGGAGATCAGCTTGTCATGCTCTTAATCAATAATCAAGTGCAATGTTCATGGATGAACAGCAGGACCCTGGTATCACATGCTCCTGATGTGATGCAATAAAGAGTACAAAGTACCAAAAACCAAACAGAAATAACCAGGAACTCATCACTGATGGACTAATCAGACATTTAAACAGATGGAGGGGCTCTATTTAGATTAAATGGGTTGTTTAAAGATACATTATCAAATGCTATATGAATCCTGACTGGATCTAATTTTATTTTTCATTTTTTAAAAAAAGATTTGTTTATCATTTACTTGAAAGTCAGAGTCACAGGGAGGGGGAGAGAGATCTTTCATCTGCTGGTTCACTCTCCAAATGGCCAAAACAGCTGGGACTGGGCCAGACCAAAGCTAGGAGCCTGGAATTTCAACCCAGTCTCCCATTAGGTGCAGAGGCCCAAGTACTTAGCCTATTTTCTGCTGCTTTCTCTGGCACATTAGCAGGGAACTGGCTTGGAAGTGGAGCAGCCGGAACTCAAACTGGCATCCATATGGGATGCCAGCGTTAAAGGTGGCAGGCTAACCTGCTGCACCACAACACGGGCTCCATGGATCTAATTTAAAAAACCAAAAACTGCTGGCGCCGCGGCTCACTAGGCTAATCCTCTGCCTTGCGGTGCCAGCACACGGGGTTCTAGTCCCAGTAGGGGCACTGGATTCTGTCCCGGTTGCCCCTCTTCCAGGCCAGCTCTCTGCTGTGGCCAGGGAGTGCAGTGGAGGATGGCCCAAGTGCTTGGGCCCTGCACCCCATGGGAGACCAGGAGAAGTACCTGGCTCCTGCCATTGGATCAGTGCGGTGTGCCAGCTGCAGTGTGCCGGCCGCGGTGGCCATTGGAGGGTGAACCAATGGCAAAGGAAGACCTTTCTCTCTGTCTCTCTCTCTCACTATCTACTCTGCCTGTCAAAAAACAAAAAAAAAACAAAAAAAAAACAAAAAACAAAACACCCAAAAACTACAGAAGATGTCATTAGGCAACTGGAAAAAAAAAAAAAAGTGAATATTAGCTATTCTATTAGATAATACTTACTTCTTGCTAATTGTCTTAGGATCATGGCATGGTCAAATAGGAGAATATTGCTGTTAGGAGACAGATGCATGCTGAACAATCTAGGAGCTAAATGTCTGGACGCCTGTAACTTTTAAATAGTCTGGGGGGAAAAGTGCATGTGTATCTGTGTGAAACCCAAATCAGCCAAGTGTGGATTGGTGCATCTAGGGCAAGGGCTACATCTGAAACTTTTCTGTAGGGTTGGAGATTTTGAAAATATTTTACTTAGAAAGAAGGGGGGAAGAAGAGTATTTCGGATGAGAAATTCTATTCAGAACGTCAGTAAATGGGAGCTTTGTTATCACTACTACTAGGGAGCACTAAAGGTTCATGATTTTCCTCCCCAAAAGGAAGCCAACCCCGGGCTAAGGGATAAAAGCCCAGAGTTGTAAACCTGGGTGGTCTCCCTGGATAGACCCACGACCCACAGAAACCACACCAGGGGCCTGTGTGCTGGGAGCAGACTGGCTGTTCAGGCCTTGTTTCCCTGCCTTCTCCTGATCCCAGAGTCTCTGCTACTGCAGCAGGAAAAACTGTTGCTCTGGGTCTATGTAAATGTTCACAAAGGGGAACGACTTCTGGGCCTCAGAAATGTTGAGGCCAGGCAGAAAGCAACGGAGGGGCCGTGCGGGGTACAGGGCAGTGCCTGCTTTGAGCAGAGCCTGTATCTGAATCAGACTCTGCCACTCGCTAACTGTGTGGGCCTCAGGCGACTCCTGGACAGATGGTGATCCTAACAATAACAACAACAGTAATAATAATGGCTAACATTTACTGAGTAGTTACTACTGTGCTAGGCACCTTAATCACATTAATCTCACAGGTGAAGTAGGCACTATTATATCCTTACTTTTTATGCCAACTGTGCCAGGCCCTCTCTGATATCTGCAATCTGGCATCTGCCATTCTTTCGGCCTGGACTGCAAAGGAAAACCCCATTCATCTGCCAGGCGCCTCGGCAGGAATTCCTTCCTTTCTCCTCTGCATCTCTAGAACATTCCACTCTCAATCCTTACCACAGCCAACTTTTACTTAAGTCTGATGCCTGCCTGGCTTTCCTGTTGGTCTGGGAAGGACCCCCCCCCCCCCAAACTCTAGAAGCAGGCGGCATAGGGGAAGAAACTTCTTCCTGCGCAGTCACACCCATTTCCTCCCACCCCAGACTGGCTGCCATCTGCCGAAAGGAAGTTCATGGCTTTCACCTGGAGTTTTAAAGCTTGCTATTTCAAAATACTGAATTTTCCATGTGGAATCTAAGGCACGGGACAAGGCCCAGTTGACCTCGCGGATGTAAACGCAAGGCGAGCTCAATCCATGCGTAGGGGAAAGGCCACGGCATGGTTGGATGCACTTTAGGGGTGACAAGGCTGAGCGGGTCATGTGTCTCCCAGCACACTGGAGACTTTCCTGCCTTACTCGGTCTGCCCACCAGGGCACACTCCTGGGCTCACAGCCCTGGGGACTTCCTGGGGACACCTCCCTTTCCAGGCCTCCCCACACCCCAGAGCTCTATCTTTGGCCCTCTCTTGGCCGTCACCATCTTTAAGAAGCCTAGGGCTGCTCCACTGCCCCCACAATCCACATGGCAGGGAGGACTGTGGCGCCATCTGCCTCTGGGAGCAGAAGGAAGTGAGCCCCCTGATCCGCGAGGCTCCCTACTCGCACAGCGAAGTCTTTCCACCTGGTGCAGGCCCACCCCAACCACCCCCCCCCATCCTCTTCCAGAACTTTCCTTCCCTCTCTCAGCTCACTCATGATTCATCTTCGTTCTCTGTAGGCACAAGCACCGCATTGCAACCTCTCTCCCTACGGTCCTCCCGACAACTCTAATTTAGAAACAAAGTGGCCGGCGCCGCGGCTCACTAGGCTAATCCTCCGCCTTGCGGCGCCGGCACACCAGGTTCTAGTCCCGGTCGGGGCGCCGGATTCTGTCCCGGTTGCCCCTCTTCCAGGCCAGCTCTCTGCTGTGGCCAGGGAGTGCAGTGGAGGATGGCCCAGATGCTTGGGCCCTGCACCCCATGGGAGTCCAGGAGAAGCACCTGGCTCCTGGCTCCTGCCATCGGATCAGCGCGGTGCGCCGGCCGCGGCGGCCATTGGAGGGTGAACCAACGGCAAAGGAAGACCTTTCTCTCTGTCTCTCTCTCTCACTGTCCACTCTGCTTGTCAAAAACAAACAAACAAAAAAACACAAAGCGTGTTCCCCTCCATCTCCTCACTGCATCCTCACACTGGCACAGGACGGGCTGGCCGGCTTGAGGGAACTGGTCCAGTCAGAAAACTGCGAAGGGCAGGAAATCCAAACCTTTGTTTCTTCCCTGCCACCTGCCAGCAGGGGCTTTGGAGCGCAAGGTTCTCATGGGCCCACCTCGGGTCTCACGTCCCTCACCTGTGAACGGCTACGGTGCCAGTACAGTCGGAGGGTTGAGGGAGAGCATGCGTGTGACGCACTCGGCTCAACGAATGGGCCCTTCAATTCCAGTCACAAGGAGGGTGCTCCGAGCACCCATCCGGCGACAGCGCCGCCAACCCTGGGCTCGCCGGCGCTGGGGTGCGCCCCGCCACCCAACCCAACCCAGGGTTACCTCAACGGCACTCGCTCCCCAGCCCTGGACACCCCTCTCCGACCTGACGCGGAGCCACCTTCTCCTCAGAGCCTCTCACCCTTTTTGCCCCCCACCGCACTCCGGGTCTCACCAAAGCCGCCTCCCACAGTCCCCGACCCCCGTAATCCGGGCTTTTCCTACCATCACCATCACCTCGGCCCCTCCCACCAGCTCCGCCCCTCTTCCCTGGTTCTGCCTCCTCTGGCTCCCCTCTCCCCAAAGGCGCCTCCTCCCCCGCAGCCACTTAGGTAGCCATCCCCATTTCACAGATGAGAATGGCGAGGCCGCGGTAGGCGACCTCTCAGGGTAGGACAGGTGCCCAGATGGGCTCCGTCCTCTCAGCGGCAGACCCCGAGCCCCGCGTCCCCGGCAGCACGGCACCCACCTCCTGCCTCGCTCTGCAGCCTCCCCTCCGCGGGCGGCGGGCGCAGCTTTGCGAGGGGGCGGAGGGTCAGAGCCCAGCCCAGGGGCGTGGCGGGCTTGGGTCCGCGCGCTGCACTTCGGGACTTGTGGTTCTCCCCTACTTGTTTGCGGTTCGGCAAGCAGAGTTGGAACTACTTCTCCCATGAGGCATTGCAGCGAGTTGCCCAGCTCTCCGCCCCGCCCATACCGGTGCTCAGGCCAGCTGGCCTTAAAGGGGACGCGACCCGAGTGGCAGCTCGCGAGGTGGCCCCCGCTCCAGCTCCGCCCCGTTTCCCGCACCTCGCCCCTCCCCCCGCCTCGACCCGCAGCCCCACGGCCGCGCCGCAGAATCGGGCTCTTCAGGCACAGACGGACTTGTGCAGAGCGGAGTGTGAAGATTGGACTTTGCGGTGGAAGCAGCATCCTTGTGGTCTGGGACCTGGCGGAGGGCGACCCCACCCTAGGGGGAGCAGAGGACCCGCCCTGACCTAGCGCGGCCCAGCCTAGTTCTGCCCGGCCTGAGAGCCCCGCCCAGGAGCCGGCTCTGTAGCAGAGCCCGCTGAAATCTGGGAGGTAAGGGGGCTGGGGGCGTGTATGAGGGTTAAGGGGGTGTCTGCACCCTGGCGTTTCAGGAACCCCGGACTAGCCTGTAGGGCTCTATGAACCCAGGCCCGGGAGGCAGGAGGTCTGGGTGCATCATGGGTCTTGCTGTGTGACCTTGGACAAGTAGCTACCCCTCTCTGGACCTCAACCTCTTCCCTCGATTGTGTGTTAAGGTGATCCGGCTCTCTCCCCGCTTAGGGTTGAGGGCACTGGTGCTCAGTACCATGAAGCTCGCCGGCTTCCCCGGGGGACCCCAGCGCCAGCACAGACTGGCTGCGAGTGCACTGCTGTAATTGGAGGGAGAGGGGGGGTCCAGCTGGGGCACAAACGGGGGGACCCAGAGGCCAGCACTGCTTGGAAAAGGCTTTTGCTGTTCTTAGCATCCCGTGTCCCCGGGGGTCCCTCACCTGTATGGGCCCTTGCACACTGGAGACCGCAGGTGTGAGGCGGCAGCCTGCGGTGGGGGCGGGGGCAGGGGCGCGGCCAGGCCGGGAGGGGTGGATGTGGTGTGTTCCCGAGGAGGGAAGGCTGCTCCTGCCTTTCTCCCTGCTCTCCCAGTAAAAGAGCAGTTGCTTGGCCGGTACGGCCCCTTCTTCTGTTCCTTTAGAGACACTTTGGTGGCCCAGACAGAGGCCCCCCAGCGTAGGGAGAAGGGCTCCCTCGGGCCTAGGGAATAGCAGCTCAGTTAAAAATAGAGCGGCTGCTGCAGGCGCCCCTGAGGGGCTGGAGATGGAACCCCTCCCTCCCCTGCCCCCAGGGGAGTCACAGGACAGCGGTGGGTGTGAGGGTCCCGGAGGGGAGGAAGTGGGTTTCCAACTTAGGTGAGCCTGGGAGGGGCAGCCCTGTCTCTCCCCACTCCTCAGGACCCTGTGAGTTCTGACCTGAGGGGTAACTGCTTTTCCTTCTGCTTTGTCGTTTGAGTCATTTCTCGAATGGCCAAGGCCTCGCTCAGGCCATTGCGGTGACCTCTACAGGGGATGCCTTGGTGGAGGTTTAAGATCTCCGGGCAGTGACTGGACCAGGGGGTGGGCCCGTCTCTGGGAGGTGCTTTTCTGGTCACTTCCTTGGTTTTGTGTCATCGGGCTGTCACATGTCTCTCACCAGCCACTTGGCACGCCCACATGGACACTTCTGTGTTTGGTCCCACTCCGGGCGCTGGGCACAGACAGGGGACCAGGACCTACTTCCTGCCGGGGTGGGAGGAGAGACAGGCATGGAACCTGGGGACACTGCAGAGGGATGCGAGAAGCCAAGAGAGGCCTTGGAGCCCAGGGCTCAGGGACATGAATTGTAGGGGGTTAAGTAAAGCCTTCCCAGAGGAGGGGGCCGTGTGAACCTGACATTGAAGGAAGAGTCGGATCCTGCCAAGGGAGAGACAAGGGGGCAGCGGAGGACCATTAGGGAAAAGCCCATTGCCCGAATTCCCTCGGGTGCCACTGCCTCTCATGTCACGTGGGCTTAGTGTCACCGGGAGGGCTGCATGCCAGGCTCGGGAGTTTGGGCCTTATCCTGACTGTTCTGTGTAGGGGCAGGGCACATTGGAGGTTATCGGGCAGTACAGTTGCTCTCACGGTGCTGTGTGTGTGTTGGGGCTGGGGAAAGCGGTTTGGAGAGGTGGTGAAGGGATGATGAAGGCTGAACTGGGGGCCCAAGGCTTGGAGGTGGAGGCACGTATTGGAGTTGTATGACACTCACGTACACCCTGGGGGCTTAGCAGGGGCTGGAGATGAGCCAGGCCTGGATGTGCGGGAACAGGGATCTGTCAACACACAGCAGAACTGCCAGGGTCAGGCGAGACGGACAGATAAAGGGATCTGGGCCTTTTAGGGGAGAGGGTGTCATGATTTTCCAGTGCCTCCTGCATGCCCTGGAGCATGCTGGGTGTTGCTGGGGCTTCTAGGCTATTGCGTTACCAGGACAAGGAGGGTGCGCCCAGGGCTGGGGGAGCAGCCGCGGTGCTGGCCTGGAGAGACGAAGGGGTGGGCAGGTGGTCATCTTCCGTTCTGGAGGTCAGAAGCTCAGAGGGGCGAAAGAGTGTCTGTGACCACGGGGGCAGTGGCTGGGCTGGGGTCAGGCCACATGCCTCTGTTGTGGGATGAGAATGGGTACGGGTAGGAGGAGCTGATGCCGGGTGGGGCTGTAGAATCAGCCAGGTCGGTAGTGTGTGACCCCACGCCTCCTGCCCTTGACAGCCTTGCTTCTCCCCTTGGTGCCAAATGGTCAAGAACAGGCTCCTGGCCGCCCAGGCCTCATCCCTTTTATGTCTCGTCCCAACCCTGAGTGGCAGGCCCAGAACAGTTCCCATTTCCCTGGCGAGAAGGCTGAGGAGCCACCCGAGGACTCGTGATAGGGAGGCAGAGCGCCCGAGCCTGTGTCTCACGACTGAAACTCAGGCTGTTCCAAGGGAGGAGGCAGCTGCTGTGTGCTGCTGCATTTGGCCTGGGCAGCTGTCTCTTGAGGCAAAGCCAGCCCGGACAGCCCATCGCCTCCTCTTCCGGGGCCTGGCAAGGCAGCCTGCTTCTTCTTCCCCGCGGGTCAGAGTGCTTGTCCTTCTCCCTCTCTGCCCCTGGAGGGATAGTGACCACATCCTGCCTCCCCTCCCTGGTCTGCGATGGGTCCGGTGAGCGCCAAGCCTCTGAAGCCCTTTTGCGTGAGTGTATCCCGGATCATCCTAGGGAGTGGGTTTCTCGGTGACCATGGTGACGGCCGACCTCAGACGGCCTGCGTGGGAGCGGAGGCAGGTAGGCAGGCCCCAGACTGAGCAGGGCTGCCGGGCTGGCCTTGGGAGCAGCAGCCCTCGTGGAAGGTGCTCCCAGCTGCCGGGTGCAGCGCACCCCCTGTGCTGCTCGTGCTGAGGTCGCCAGTGTGGCATCACCGCGTTCCACGGGATTCAATCTAACATTGTTTACCGGAGAGCAAAGAGGCTCAAGGGCACATCGTGCCTGGGGCCTGGACTGCACGACTCCTCATTCCTAGTCTGACTGTCTTGCCTGTCCCAGAGCCCTCCCTGGCTCCTGAACCCCATTTCAGTCTTTGACTCCACACACGTCGCCAGTCCCTCATGGACAGGGTGTATAGGGTCGAGGGAGACCAGGCAGGGCTCTGGGAGGTTGGTGCTGCCTAGGAAAGAGAGGGCCAGGGCTGAAGGGAGACCTTTTTTTTTTTTTTTAAATTTTGAGATTTATTTATTGGAAATACAGAGTTATGGGGGAGGGGGAAAGAGAAAGAGTATCTTCCATCTGCTTGTTCACTCCCTCAAATGGCTGCAAGACCAGAGCTGGCCTGATTGGAAGCCAAAAGCTTCTTCCAGGTCTCCCACGTGAGTGTGGGGGCCCAAGCACTTGGGCCATCCTCCAAGCTTTCCCCAGGCACATTAGTGGGGAGCTAGATTGGAAGTAGAGCTGCCAGGACTCGAACCGGTGGGATGCTGGCGTTGCAGATGGCAGCCTTACCCGCTACGCCACAACGCCGGCCCAGAGACCTGTTTTTAAAGATGCCATTCACAGGTTTCCTGAGCAGGTGCTTCACTAACATGTCTGCCTCCGCCACCTGACTAGAAGCTCCTTAATGGCCCAAAAGCAGGGCTGGGGCACGTCCAGCCTGCTGGCTGTATGAGGCCTGTGAGATCACCTGGTCTGGCCCTATCAAGGCCACTCAGGCAGAACTGGAAATCTAATCAATCTGTAGCAGGCTCATTTTTAAGCTGATAATTTCATCTGGCCCGTGAATGATGTTATAAATATCCAAAAAGTTTCCCCACCCTATAAGCGACAGGAGTGGACATCTTCTGAGGACTTCCTTGTGCTCAGCACCAAGCGGGGAGCTTTATCTTCACAACCCTGCCAGGTGGAGACAGCGTTCCCGAGTATGGGCAGCCTTTCTGGTGGCTGGAGTGCGTCTCAGAGCCTGACGCAGACAGGGACAAATGCAGCCTAGGGCAGGCGTTTGGTGCAGTGCACTGCATGGACACCTGTATCCTGTATTGCAGTGCTTGGGTTGAAGTCCCCACTCTGCTTCCAGTCCAGCTTTCTGCTAACGTGCACCCTGGGAGGTGGCGGGTAGTGACTCAAGTACCTGGGTCCCTGCCACTCCCATGGGAGATCCAGATTGGGTTCCAGGCTCATGGCTTCAGCCTGGCCCAGCCCTGACTTGGTAAACATTTGGGGAGTGAACCAGCAAGTGGAAGGTGTGTGTCTTCTCCCTGTCACTCTGTCTTTCAAATAAAAATGAAAAAACAAATGCCCAAAGCAGTCTAAGCCTTCCCCCACTTCCTAGATCAGGAGACCTGCAGGGGGCCCTCTCACTCCCTCCTCTCCCCCGACCCCCACCCATAAGACTGAGGCAGCCCGGCCAGCACTGGGCACCACTCTTGCCAGGGCGGCACCCGCTAACCATGTGGCACTCACTCTTCTTGGCAGGGGAGATGCCAGCCGCAAAGAAATGAGCCCTGGTCCCTGTCCTGAGGAGCTCACAGCCTGCTGAGAGACTTACATAAATGGGCCCACTGCGTCATAACACATGCAGCGAGGGCAGCTCGGTCACAGCTGACAACCCCAGGGGCCTGGCCCACAGGCCGGGTTCCAGAACATCTGTGTCCATAGCAGAAGCCAATTTCCTGGCCCAGTACCTAGGATGTGGCCGGTCTGGCTTCACACCAGCTGCAGGTGTGAAGAAAGTCGTTTTTATTGAAGCCAATCAGTTTAAATACCGACCGTGTGCTGAACCTTCTTTTGGGTCCTGTCCAAAAGGCAGAGTGGACAGTGAGAGAGAGAGACAGACAGAAAGGTCTTCCTTTCCTGTTGGTTCACCTTCCAATGGCTGCTGTGCTGCGTGCGCCAGCCGACGCACTGTGCTGATCCAAAGCCGGGAGCCAGGTGCTTCTTCTGGCCTCCCATGGGGTGCAGGGCCCAAGCACTTGGGCCATCCTCCACTACACTCCCTGGCCATAGCAGAGAGCTGGCCTGGAAGAGGGGCAACCGGGACAGAATCCGGCGCCCCGACCGGGACTAGAACCTGGTGTGCCATTGCCGCTAGGTGGAGGATTAGCCTAGTGAGCTGTGGCACCGGCTGGAGCAGGATGTTACAGAGAAGCCAAGAACTGGCTTTGCCCTCGAGGGGCTGAGAGTTGAGTGCTGAGAGAGCAGGCTGGGCCCACCTGAGCAGCCAGATCAGGAGTCAGGGCTCAGCCTGGAGCCGAGGCTGCCGGCAAGCAGTGCAGGTGGAAGGGGAGGCACGGCAGCTTGCACTGCACTCTGGGTGCTGGGGTGCTGGGCACGGGGGATCCTGTGGGGGACAAGACTTGACGCGGTTCCTGCTCTTGGGAACCATCGTGGTGGTGGGAAGGCTGGCCCTACTCATGGCTTCCTGAACGCGGTGAAGAAGGGCAGGATGCTCCAGTTTGTTAACTAGGGCATTTGACCCCGACTGGGAGGTCGGGCAAGGCTGCCTGAAAGTGAGTTTCAGCTGAAGTCTGCAAGGCCCACCAGGGCAGGAGAAGGCAAAGCAGAGGGACTAGAGCGAGCCAGGAGCCGGGGGTGGTGTGCACAGGGCCCTCATCCTGCGGGGCTGGGGAGCCAGGGGTGGTGGCAGCAGTGGAGCAGAGACAAGACGCTGCTTCGGGGAGTGATCCCAGCTGTCATGCTGGCAGAGGCCACCGTTGGCTGTAGGAATGAGGTGGGGGGGGGGCGGGTACTGTTGAGACAGGTGTTTTAGATCAACTTTAACGGGAATTGGAGTTTGACTAGTGTGGGGCATGGGGCGTGGGTTGGGGGGGTGCTCGGGAGACGGCGGGGCAAAAGTCACCACACATAGAAGTGATTCTTGCACAGGTGTAGGTAACTTAGGTAAGGGGGCAGTGTTGCCTAGGGGCAGAAGGAAACTACAAAAGGGCTCTGGGGACGCCCTGTAGGCCCTCCCTCTCTGGAGGTGGGGCTCTTCCTGGGACCCCCTTCTCAAGCCCAGGATAAAGCTTGGCCAAGGTTCTGGACAGCACCTTCTAGATCCAGCTCCTCCCTGCCCCAACACTGGATGAGGTCACAGGGGAGAGGTGGTGTTGCCTTTGTGTGTTGAAAGGCACGCAGTGGCGCGCTATCCCTGGGCTTGCTATGCGAGGAGCATCGTGGGGCTTTCCTGTGGAACCTCCTAGTGAGGTCGGTATCATTTGCCCCATTTCAGATGCAAAGACTTAGGCCCAGGAAGGTGTAATTCCTCGCCCACGGCCTCAACACTCGGGGCGCCGCCACACTGGGAACCGACCGAGGCGCTCGAGCCCCACGGCTGGCGGGCGGAAGGTGACCAGCTCCCTGAGCCCTGCAACGCGGCCATCATGGACAAGATCCTGGAGGCGGTGGTGACGTCGTCGTACCCCGCGAGCGTGAAGCAGGGGCTCGTGCGGCGCGTGCTGGAGGCGGCGCGGCAGCCGCTGGAGCGGGAGCAGTGCCTCGCGCTGCTGGCTCTAGGCGCGCGCCTCTACGTGGGCGGCACGGAGGAGCTGCCGCGCCGCGTGGGCTGCCAGCTGCTGCACGTGGCCGGCCGCCACCACCCCGACGTCTTCGCCGAGTTCTTCAGCGCGCGCCGCGTGCTGCGCCTGCTGCAGGGCGGCGCCGGCCCGCCGGGGGCCCGCGCGCTTGCATGCGTGCAGCTGGGCCTGCAGCTCCTGCCCGAGGGGCCCGCGGCCGACGAGGTGTTTGCGCTGCTGAGGCGCGAGGTGCTGCGCGCTGTGTGCGAGCGCCCCGGGCCCGCCGCCTGCGCGCAGGTGGCCCGGCTGCTGGCACGGCACCCGCGCTGCGTGCCCGACGGCCCGCACCGCCTGCTCTTCTGCCAGCAGCTGGTGCGTTGCCTCGGCCGCTTCCGCTGTCCCGCCGAGGGCGAGGAGGGCGCCGTGGAGTTCCTGGAGCAAGCCCAGCAGGTGAGCGGGCTCCTGGCGCAGCTGTGGCGCGCACAGCCCGCTGCCATCCTGCCCTGCCTCAAAGAGCTGTTCGCTGTCATCTCCTGCACAGGTGCGTGTGCCCACGGGGCTGGGGCGGATACCGGCGGATTTTCTCTGACTGCGGGCGGCCATAGTAGTGGGCCATGTGTGCGCGAGGTTGAACGCACCAGACCTATCCTGAACGCCCCCCGCCTTGGGTCCTGGGGTGTGTGTGTGTGTGTGTGTGTGTGTGGCTGCGGAAGGGTAGGGAAGGGGCCTGGGCACACCAGCAGCAAGGTCACCCCTGGGGCCATTGGGGCAGGTGGCTTTGATGGTTGTCAGGACTTTGGAGGCTGGTGACAAGGATGAGGCTGAGGCGGCCTGGGCAGGCAGAGGTGAAGGTCTGGAGACGTCCCCGGGGCTTGCCAGTTTTAACTCTGAAGCGTGGAATCCAGAATTTGAGTTGAAATCTGTGGACCTTAGACTGCGTGTTGAGGACTAAGGTCAGACCCGCGCCTCCTGTGGTTCTGGGGCTGCCCAGGGCACAGCGGGAAGAAACCAGGCTGGGTGTGCAAGGCCTGGGTCCTTATGCAATTGGGCATCGGCACAATGATAACCCCATGAGCGTTCTCATCTCCAGCCTCTGGAACGTGCCTTCCCACTCCTCCCCCCCCCCCCCCAAGTCCACACAGCCCTCTGCCTTTGTTGGCCATAGCTCTAGGGTTAGCTTTTCCCAAGGCCTTACTTAGCCTCTGTGTGCCCTCTGGGCCCAGCATAGAACTAGACGCAAAGCACCAGTGAAGGCTTGTTGAGTGAATGAGCTAACGTGAACTCTGAGGCTGTGATGCTGGAGCGGGAGAAGCATGGGCCCCACTGTACTCTATGCAGAGGCCCAGGCCAGGTCTTTGGTGGTGGGGGAGGGGAGGGGCCTGCCCACACTGCTAAGGTCAGCCCCGCCTCCCGGTCCAGATGAGGAGCCACCATCTAGCGCCCTAGCCAGTGTGGTCCAGCACCTGCCGTTGGAGCTCATGGATGGCGTTGTCCGGAACCTCAGCAATGACGACAGCGTGACGGACGCCCAGATGCTCATGGCCATCAGCAGGTGGGATGCTGAGGGCCCTGCGCTCTTCCTGTGGAACCCCGTGCCGGGAGAGGATGCTGGTGGAGATGGAGAGCAGAGAGGGGCCGGGCCCTCGATGTTGCCCAGTCATCCGTGCGTGGTTGAGCCCTGCTCTGTAGTTGGCCCTGTGTTGGATGTGGGGGGACACAGACAGCCCTGCTTGAGAGATGCTGCCAGGCTGGGGCCCAGCTGTGAGCCCGTGCTTGCTAGGGAGTGCTTAGCCTGTTTCCCCTCTCTGTAGTGCGAAGGCGGGTGGTGGTATGAGAAGTCGGGCTCCAAGGGGCTGTGTGGGAAGGTGAAGGCACTTCACAGCATGCTCTGTGAGTCCAGCAAATACGGGTGCTTTTCAGCTCACAGAGCCCCTGCACGTCCCCCACCTTACTTGAATGCCATCATTCCAGTGATGTGGCTGCACCTGCCTGTCTGGGGGCCCCAGAATGTGTCCCCTGCCCTCCTCCCTGTGAGCCTTTGCCTCTGCAGACCCCTCCACCTGGCATGCCTCTCTCCGCCATTCTTTCCTGCCTGTGTGCCCCTCCACCATGTCCACAGGGCCCTCCTGGATGCCTTGTGTTTTGTGGGTAAGAATGTGGGCTCGAGAGGTGAGTCACGTGGGGTCAAATCCTACCTCTTCCATTTTGGCCTGTGTGGCTTCGGGCAGGTCACTCAACCTCTCTGGGTGTCCATTTCAACAGGTAGAAAATGGAATATAATTAAGCTTACTACTGAAGGTTGCTGTGAGGATTAAATTAGCTAAAAGGAGACAATGCCTGGAAAAGTGCCCTGTGATCGCAGCTGTTACTGCTTTGATGTCATAGTTCTCCTTCTCAAGCATCAGAATTATGACAGGAAGGCTTTCCTGTGCACCTGCCACGTGGCAGCTTCGCGCTCACTCCACACAGGTGTTGTCCACACAGGTGTTGTCCACACAGGTGTTGTGCTGTGGGACTCATTGGCGTTAATCCACACAAAGCGGAGAGGGCCATGCCTGTGCAGGGAGAAGACTACGTAGTGTTAGCTATTGAGTCTTGTAATCCCCATGGCTGCCTTTGTGAGGGAGGTAGTATCACCCATTTTACAGAGGAGGAAACTGAGGCTGGGAGAGGGAGAAATGGCTTGTTCTGGGTCACATGGCAAGAGCTTGCTGGAGCTAGAGCTTCTGGCTCAGAGACCGTGTTCTTCCAGGCTGAGGCAGCTGTGAGCCCCTGCCAGTGCCACCCGGTATTGGGGGAGAGGCTTGGGGGCCTCCTGCTGGGCTGGGAGCCCGAGGCTCTGCCCTGTGTCTGCAGGGCTCAGCTGTGTTTTCCGGAGGTGTCTTGTTCACCCCACAGACCACAGGGCTGCCTGGGACAGGCGGGAGTCTGTGTGGGAACCTGGGACGTGATGGCTGGCCCTTGGAGTGCCCTCACCCCGGAGTCGGGCCTCTTCTGTCCTGAGTCACTGTCACTGCCCTCACCAGGATGATCGACTGGGTGTCCTGGCCCCTGGGGAAGAACATCGACAAGTGGATCATTGCCCTGCTGAAGGGCCTGGCTGCCGTTAAGAAGTTCAGCATCTTGATCGAGGTCTCGCTCGCCAAAATCGAGAAGGTTGGTGGCCCTGGCCTCGCTAAGGCTTATGGCCTTTGCCGTCGGTCTCTTGCTAGGGGCAGTGCAGGTCTGGGAGGCAGAGCACCATGGCTCCCGCCTGAGCTTGCTGTGTGACCTGGGACGATTCACTGCCCCTCTCTGGGCCTCGGGTTACCCCCATTTGTTCCTCTGACTGCTCGTTCAAGTGCATGCATCCATCACTTCTGGCGTGCCCCTCCGTTCATCCATCCGATGCCTATCTTGTCTGTTTCACCACCTGTCCCTCTGTAGGTCTGTGAGTACCTCTGTTCTCGCTCCTGCACGGGTCTGCTGTTTTGACTCTGCCGTGCCTCTCGGGCCAGTGGCTGGACTTGGCCTTGAGTGACCTGGGGGACTCCTGGGCACTGTCTTGCAGGTTTTCTCCAAGCTGCTGTACCCCATCGTGCGGGGAGCCGCCTTGTCTGTCCTCAAGTACATGCTCCTGACTTTCCAGCACTCCCACGAGGCCTTCCACTTGGTGAGGACCCCTGCCTGCTGCCCACTCTGAGCTGGGAGGCCTGATGTGCTGTGTCGTGGGAGGGCTTGGAGGGTGAAGCCCAGGACCATCCTGGCTGTTAGCACGGGGGAGGCTGGAGACCCCACTTGCCAGAGGATTTGTGTGGTTTTCCTCCAAGCGCATGCTTGAGTGACAGAGCTCGGCTGATGACAGCACCACTCGCTGGGGCCGGCTGTGTGCCAGGCTTGGGGCTAAGGACAGTACCTGGGTTCGTCCATGCAGTTCCCAGAGCAGCCCCATGAGGGAGGTTCTGTCCTAGCCTCTGTGCTGCAGAGGGAGAAACTGCAGGGTGGGAGGGGATGTGTGGAGGAGGGAAGGTCCCGTCCCAGGTGCAGCTGATGAGCGGCTCAGGGATGCGTCCTTCCTGACCCAGCTGTCCACCGGTGCCGAGCGACCTGGCCTCTAGCTCTGGCCCCTGCTCTGGGGAAGACAGCCTGGCGCCCTGGGAGGTTGCCTGCTGTACCTGCCTGGCCTCACTGGGGGCCTGCAAGTGGACCCAGGTTCTGACGGCCCCTGCTCAGGGCAGTGAAACGTCATGCTGCCCCATTTGTTGTGTTGATGAAAGCACAGAGCCAGGGATTGAGTCCAAACTCTGCCATTGCTACATGTGGTGGCCTCGGACCAGGCACTTGACCTTTGAGAGCTGGGGACGGTTGGACTGGGAATGACAGGAGGGGCCGGAGGAGGTGACACCCATCTGCCCCATACTGGAAGCTTGACAGATAGCTGTTTCCTTCCATCCTACTCCTGGTTCCTCTGCCTGATTGTCCGTTGTGACATGATGGCCTAGCACACCCCAATGGGGAAACAAGTGGTCTGGCCACTAGCTTGTCCCATAACCCATGGGGAAATCCTTGGCAGGTCCCACGTCCTCGCTTATTTTGTCTTCTATGAAATAGGGCTGAAGACTGCTGCTGTGTGCAGTCATGGGGAGGATCACCTAAGGGTAGTGGGACGGGGCTGGTGTTGGCCACTAGGGGCCGCCACTGGAGCTGTCAGGGCCGGCCCAGCTGGCTGTGTTGTGGCCCCCCGCGTCGCTGGAGCTGGATAGAGTAGCTGTGGTCTCTGAGGCCTCCAGGCTCTTAGGGCAGGTGAGGTGGCAGAGGCTGGACAGCTGGGGCTTGGGCCCCCCTCTCCACTGTGAGGAGGGCGTGTATCCTGCTTTGCAGGTGACAAACCTAGGGCAGGGTGCCTTTAGGCTGGGGGTCTCGGCAAAGGAGTTGCCTGCCTGTGGAGCTCAGCCTGCGCCTGTGAGGAGGACAGTGGTCCGTGGGCAAACCTCCCTGCCGCTGAGAGCCCTGGGGGCTGTGAGCAGGGCCAGAAATGGGGCGTCCCGGGTGGGAGAACTGGGAACCACCGCCGAGCCTCTCCCTGCTCTGCTGTCGCAGCTCCTGCCTCACATCCCGCCCATGGTCGCCTCCCTGCTCAAGGAGGACTCCAACTCGGGGACCAGCTGCCTGGAGCAGCTGGCGGAGCTGGTCCACTGCATGGTGTTCCGCTTCCCGGGCTTTCCGGACCTGTATGAGCCTGTCATGGAGGCCATCAAGGTGAGTGACAGTTCCCTCCTTGTCCCTTGCCCTATTCTGACACAGGTGCTGGTGAGTTCCGTCCTCTAGGCTTGGTGGCAGCCCCCATCACTCAGTCCCTTATAGCTGGCTCTCGGCTCCCCAAGGCTACTGCCCGTCCCCAGGTGCATCACCCTCCATCAGGACTGCTCTGAGCCTTGGCATGTGCCATGTTCTAACTGCAAACCTTCCTCCTTCTGCCTGGGTCTCCTGCCTTTCACTAAAGGCTCTGCTCGAGGTTGCCACCCTCAGGAAGCCTTCCCTAACGACTGTTGGCATGTCTGCCACCACGGCAGGTTGGCACATGTCATCACGCAGGATCGCTCACAGCTGCTCAGGAGCCCTCACCGAGGTCCTACTCTGAGCCATGCCTGGGCTGGGGCTGGGATGGTAGGCAGGAAGCAAACCAAGTCTGCTTCGCCTGGTAGGCTGACAGACCTGTGTGCGGGAAACTGAGCTGAGCAGCCGTGACAGTGTCTGCAGGGGTGGGGCGGAGGCTGTGGAGGAGAGAGGCGCTGAGCTGGGCTTGGTGGGTCGCCAGGATCCGACCGTCAGGGCACCTGGCTTCTGGCTTTGGATCAGCGCAGCACACCAGCCGTAGCAGCCATTTGTGGGGGTGAACCAACGGAAAAAGGAAGACCTTTCTGTCTAACTCTGCCTGTCCAAAAAAAAAAACAAAAACAAAAACAAAAACAAAAAAAAACAAACACCAGGGTCTGGGCATGGGGGAGGTGTCTAGGGTCGTGGCCTTCTCAGAAGCTCTGATCTAATGTCTGCCTTGGCAGCACAGTGGGCTGGCTCACCTGGATGGTGTCACACCGTGCGACCTCTGGAAGACACTTGTTATGATGTTATGATAGCACTGCACCTACTAAGAGGCTTATTCTGAGCTTGTGTGAACGTAGGGGAGGAATCCCTGGGGCCAGAAAGGAACAGAGCAGGGAATTCCAGGGTGGGAGAGATGAAGTCCCTTTGCCTGACATGAGGGCTGGGGTGCATGGTCCACCTTGGCGACCAAGTGGTGTGAGCTGGGGCGGGGGGGGCAAGAAAGGAAGTGTGGGCCTGTCCCTGGTAGGGAGTGGGTACAAAGCAGCCCACCGCAGACCAGGCCCAAGATAGCTTTCCTGTTAGTCAAAGGGTAATCTAGGAAAAAAATGTACATGTGACCCCAAATACACAACAAGGAAACTCCTGGGAACAGCGCTCTGGACTGAGAACAAAGGAGATTTGTAACCAGTGGCTGCTCTCAGGTGGGCCTAGGGCTTCAAATTCAGATCCTCTTACAGTACCCAAGGATTGCTTGGCAAAGCAAGCCATAAAGGTACAGTTCTACTGAAGATGAGATTTTAACCTAAAACCCACAAAACACACGCAGGGACAATCTAGTATGAGCCGGAGTGGAGCCAACAAAATCTCCATCGCCTTGGCTTTCCTCGGGTTTTCAGACTTGAGAAAGAACATTGCATTAGTGGGAGGTAACTCATGGTGGGGGGAGGGGCTATCACTGGGGTGGGTGAGCAGTGGGGGATGGGACTTGTACCCGTTCAGGGGCTGCTGCCCAAGGCTGTCTGCCTCCTGAGCTTCCTGGGATGGCTACTCTTGCCTGCTAGCTGGTGAGCTTCTGGGGGCGGGGGTGTTTTGGCCCCTGGGTCTTCTGTGACCAGTGAGTGGCTACAGGTGGACGAATGGGCTTGATGCAGTGTGACGAAGGCATGGGTGAACACAGGAGGGAAACCCGAGATGAGCGAGGCCAGGCTTGGCTGGTGGGGGGACAAGGTGTGTGTGTGTGCAAACACACCTATGGGTGCAGGGAGCTGGGCTCCACAAGAGAGGGACAAGGGGCCTAGGGACCCCACTTAGTAAGATGGGAGCCATCTGAGAAGAGAGAGGCTTGGAGAGGACAGGGGCTATGGAAGTCAGCCTGGTGCATCGGGACTAGGGAGAGGAGGCCAGCCTAGACGAGTGGGAGGGAGTGGCATGGAGGTGCCTGTCCTCCATGGTCAGGGCCTCAACAACCAGGCTCAGTCACTTTGCTTAATCGAACAGATCCGGACTTCTTGAATGCTTCTGCCAAGGTCCTTGACTCCAGTGGGGGAGCACTTAGTCCAGAGCAGCCTCACATGGGCTCAGTTTCTCCATTTTATCCCAAAGGCTCGAACATGGGACATGATCTGTAGATGTTTGTTTTCAAACAAGCATCTTTTCTTCCCCCAGGGAATGTATTTTCAGGAAGATGGGTGCCACTGTCCTGGTGGCATACCCAGACTTGGGGTGAGCCAGGTCTAGAAGCAAGGCAGCAAATCCTGGTACCGTTTGTAAGGTTCCTCCCACACGTGCTCCTTCGTAAGGGAGTTCGGGGAAACTCTCACAAAGGCAGATGTGTGTCAGGGTGTGGCAGTTTGGGAGCTGTGGCCCTTGCTAAGGGAAGCACTGTATGTGAATCTCTAAGACATGAGCTTGAGGGTTAGGGAAGTCTTCTGTTTTATTTATTTGAACGAGAAAGTTCTTCCATCTACCTGTTCATTTCCTGAATGCCAGACAGCCAGGTTGGGCCAGGCTAAAGCCAGGAGTCCAGAACCCAATGTAGGTCACCCACATGGGAGGCGGGAACCCTCTCCTGCAGCCTCCCAGGATGTAGGTCATCGGGAAGCTGGATTGGCAACCAAGCCAGGACTCGCACCCAGGAATCCTGATAAGAGATGTGGGCATCCCAAGCAGCGTCTAAACTGCTGCACTAAATGCCTGCCCCAATGTACGTTCTGGTTTCTCCGCATCATCCCCAAGCGTGTGTGTGTGCGTGCACGCGCTCGCTCCTGTGCATCTGCCTGCCTCTCCGTAGATATTTGTTCCCGTGGGGTACGAGTGGCTGGTAGGTGGGAGGTTGGACAGAACAGAATTGGAGAAGAGAATACAGAGCCTAAGCCTGTACCTGCCTGGCTCCCTCCGGCACCCCCTGGTGTAGTCATCCTTACCCTCGGTGAGCCTTGCCTAATCTGATACTTTATTTGATGAGTGATCCCCCAGAAAGGAGTGAACCCTCCCACTGGAGCCAGAGGTGCTCCTGGGAGAGGAGGATGTGAGGGCAGAGCTAGTTGGGAGCTCCGTGGCACCTTGGATCAACCTAGGGCACCGTCCTAGAATTTCCGGTCTGCAAACACTACGTTGTACTGAGGTGTTTTTTGAAGGTGTATAGGTGTTGGAACTGTGGTGCTATTCTTTGAGGTGCAGCTGGTTTTTTTTTTTCTTATTTTTATATGAAAAAGAGAGGGAGTCTCCCACCCTCCCTCCCTTCTCTTCCACCTTCCTGCCCCTCTCTCCCTTCCCGCCTCTACCCTCTTCCCCTCTTCCACCCTCTCTCCCCTCTCTCTGGATTGAATTCCTGGCTCCTGGCTTCATCCTAGCTCCTGGATTGAATTCCTGGCTCTTTTCCTGCTCTCCTCCCTCACTTCCTCCCAGCCTGGAGCCCAGGACCCGCCCTTCACACCTCCAGAATCCTCCCACTGTCTCGACAAGAGGGCTCACATTTGGGGCTGGGAGTGACTGATTCTCCTGGAAGCTGACTCTTAACCTAGATAAACCAGAAACAACACTGAGTGCAAGCACGGTGACAGTATAGCCCACCTAACTGAGCCAGGATAGGAGGGCCCTCACCTGACCGGGAGGTTAACGGACAGAGGCAGGGGCTTGGTGACCGCTGGACGGGAGGAGAGTCAGGTACTGAGCTGGGGTCGTGTTGGGCTGGATTGCTGGGTCCCTCTTAGAGTCTGTGCCCTAGGCTCTTCGAAGAACAGACAGATTCTTCACCTACCACCCAGGTGGTTCTTTACTGAGTCCTCGTTTATCCACCTGTAAAGTGGGGATTATACCACCTTAGGGCAGCTGTAGCTCACGCAGAGGTGAGAACCTAGAATGAGTGTGTAGGCAGGGGGCGTCGATGCACCTCTTGGGAACACTGGGAGGCTGTGTGGTAGGCAGAGTCCCAGGAAGGCGTCGCAGAGGTGGTAATATTTGGGGGGCTGACCTTGGTGCCCACTGTCCTGCCTGCTTGCCTGTTCCCTCCTCAGGACCTCCATGTTCCCAACGAGGACCGCATCAAGCAGCTGCTGGGGCAGGATGCCTGGACCTCCCAGAAGAGTGAGCTGGCTGGCTTTTACCCCCGGCTCATGGCCAAGTCCGACACGGGCAAGATTGGCTTAATCAACCTGGGCAATACCTGCTACGTGAACAGCATCCTCCAGGCCTTGTTCATGGCTTCTGAGTATGTGCTGCCCTTCTTTCCTTGGGGAGACTGCAAGGGGTGGGGGGCGGGGTTGGGGAGGGTGGGCCTGAGGGCAGGGGGGAGGACCCAGACTGCCTTGGTCACTGCCAAGACTGGGTGGAAACTCGGGGGGGGGGGGGGCTTCAGGGTCTGCCCCAGGGGAATGTCACTGCCTCCCCGTGGGGTGGATTGGAACTTCCACTAGCCTTAGCTTTAGACTTTGTTCTCTTCTCGGGACAGCGCGGTCTCTGTGGCTGCCTATCCACCTGTGGCTGGCTGCAAAAATCCAAGTGCTGGCTTCGATTCTGGCTTACACCGTGACTTCACGGCTGTTTCTTCTCTGTGCTTCAGCTTCTGTGGGAGGTTGGCGCTGAGGCGAAGGCAGCCTATGGTGCTGCTTGTTCTTTGTACATTGCCTGTTTTGTGTTTTGTGTTTTTTTTTTTTTTTTCCCCTCCCTGATTTCTGGTCTGCTGCCTAGCATTACTTCAGTAGAAACACAACAAAATGACCTCCTGGAAAAATGATCAAGTGCTTGCATGGCCACAGTCACAGTTGTCTCTGTATTTGTTTTTTAATTAAACATTTTTTCAATGAGCATCTCCTTGTATGTCTTTAAGAGGTACAGTGCGATGTTGCAGCGCCTCTGTAGGGCGTGAACTGGTCAACCTTTCCACTTCCTTCTTCGTTGGGGGCTGACCAGCTTCTCTGTTCCAGTTCCGTGTATGGAATATCACGTTTCTGTGGCCTGCAGTGACCCCGCTGTACTGTGCAGTGCTAGAACTGGGCACTCGGGTGTGACTTTGGTAACTGCTCCCCGGTCTCCCTGTGCCTGTCCAGCCTCTGGCAATCGCTACTCTAAGCTCGGGCTGGCTGGCTGGAAGCTTACGCAGGTGTAAGACGCGTCTTTCTGTGTCAACACGCAGACCTCCGATTCCACCCCTTTTGCTGCACCTAGCGGGATCCCACTCCTTGTATGGCTGAGCACTATCCTGTGTGTACGCACGCCACGTGATCTTGACCCACTTAGCCATGGATGGGTTGGTTGATGGCACGTGTCGGTGATGCGTGGCGCTGCTGTGAGCATGGGAGAGCGGGGATCTCTCCGATAGGCTGATTTCATTTCCTCTGGATATGATCTAGCCACCTGGTAGCTCTATTTTTAGTGTTAGAAACGACACTGTTTCCCATAATGGCTGTACTAGCCTGCATTTTCCCCAACAGCGCCTAGGTGTACTCTTTCGCCTGCTCATCAGCAGTTGGAGAGTTTGGTCTTTCTGAAAACAGCCGCGCTCACTGGAGGGAGGTAGTATCTCACTGTGGTTTGGATTTGCGTCTCCTTGGTGGCTCAGTGGTACGGAGCATCTTTTCACGTATTCGTTGACTAGTTGTATTTCTTCTTTTGAGAAACGTCAATGCTGACCCTTTACCCGTTTCCTAACTGGATTTTTTTTTTTTTTTTGGTGGTTGTTGCATTTGTTATATATTCTAGATCGCTTTGTCAGAGGAATAACTTGGAAATATATTCTCCCATTTTGATTGCTATGCAGAAGATTCTTAGTTGATACAGTCCTATTTGTCTAGTTGTTTTTTTTTTTTTTTTTTGCCTGAACTTTTGGGGTATTATCCAAAATATCTTACACTGATAAGTTTGGGAGCCGGCACTGTGGCGTAGCGGGTTAAAGCCCTGGCCTGCTGCGCAGGCTTCCCATATGGGTGCCATTCGAGTCCCAGCTGCTCCATTTCCCATCCAGCTCTCTGCTATGGCCTGGGAAAGCAGTGGAAGATGGCCCAAGTGCTTGGGCCCCTGAGACCCAGAGGAAGCTCCTGGCTTTGGATCAGCCCAGCTCCAGCCGTTGCGGCCAATTGGGGAGTGAACCAGTGGATGGAAGACTTCTGTCTCCTCTCTCTGTCTCTCTGCAACTCTGTCTTCGAAATAAATAAAAATAAATCTATACTGATAAGTTCCAGTGGTTCCTACTAGAAGTTTCCTTTGGATTTAGGTATTGTTTTCTTTAGATTCATATTTTTCTTTTTTTTTTATAGATTCATTTATTGACTTGAGAGGCAGAGTTACAGACAGAGGGATAGAGAGGTCTTCCATCTACTAGCCACTTCCCATGTGGCTGCAACAGCTGGAGCTAGGCTGATCTAAAGCCAGGAGCCAGGAGCGTCTTCTGGGTCTAGCACGTGGGTGCAGGGGCTCAAGCACTTGGGCCGTCATCTTCTGCTTTCCCAGGCCATCAGCAGGGAGCTAGATCAGAAGCCCATATAGGGTGCTGGCGCCACAGACAGAGGCTTAATCTACTCCAGGACGGTGCTGGCCCCAGATACAGGTCTTTTAAAGTTCATCTGTGGTGCGGTGCTGTGGTGCCACAGGTTAGGCTGCCATTTGCAGTGCCAGCATTTCATGTGGGCACCAGTTTGAGTCCTGGCTGCTCCACTTGAGATCCAGATCCCTACTAATGTGCTTGGGAAAGTGGTGGAGGATGGCCCAGGTGCTTGGGCCGCTGCATCTATGTGGGAGACCTGGATGAAGCTCCTGGCTTTTGCTTGGCCATTGTGCCCATCTTGGGGGTGGACCAGTGCATGGAAGATCTCTTTCCCTCTGTCTTTTCTCTCTGATTCTTTCAAATAATAAATAAATAGGGGCCAGCACTGTGGCACAATGCGTTAAAGCCCTGGCCTGAAGTGCCGGCATCCCATATGGGTGCCAGTTCTAGTCCCGGCTACTCCTCTTCCGATCCAGCTCTCTGCTATGGCCTGGGAAAGCAGTAGAAGATGGCCCAAGTCCTTGGGCCCCTGCACCCACATGGGAGACCCAGAGGAGGCTCCTGGCTCCTGGCTTTGGATTGGCGCAGCTCTGGCCATTGCGGCCAACTGGGGAGTGAAGCATCAGATGGGAGACTTCTCTCTCTCTGCCTCTCCTCTCTGTGTAACTCTGACTTTCGAATAAATACATCTTTAGAAAAAAATAAATCCTTTTAAAAAAGTTAACTTATTTTGAGGGTCAGAGATCAAGCTTCCTCCTGATGGTTCACTTTATAGTTGCTCGCAATGCTGGAACTGGGCTAGGGCTGAAGCTGGGAGCCAGGAATGCAGTCCAGGTATCCCACATGGATGGCAGGAACCCGGCTATCTGAACTGTCACCGGTATCTGCAATAGCGAGAAGCTGCAGTCAGGAGCTGGGAATCTAACCCAGGCACTCTGCGGCAGGACGTGGGTGTCTTAGCCACCAGACCGAATGCCTGCACTCACATTTAGTCCACTTTGAGTTGATTTTGAAATTAAATCTTAAAAGTCAGAGAGCAAGGGAAGAGGCAGAAAGGTCTTCCATCTGCTCATTCACTCCCCAGATGGCTGCAGTGGCTGCGGGTAGGCCAGGCTGAAGCCAGGAGCCAGGACCTGCTTCTGGATCTCCACCTGGGTAGCAGGGATCCAAATACTTGGGCCACCTTCCACTGCTTTTTCCCAGGCCATTAGCAGGGAGCTGGATCAGAAATGGCACAGCCAGGACTCAAACCGGCGCCCATAATGGATGCTGGCGTCACCGCGGCAGCTTTACCCACTACTCCACAATGCCAGCCCCGTCCATTCAGTACCCATATGGGATGCTGGTTTCACAGGCGGTGGGTTTACCCACTACGCCACAGCACTGGTCCCTCCAGTTGATTTTTGTGTCGGGTGGGTGGTGGTGAGGGGACATCAGGTATCAGGCCTCTGCATATGGATATGTTCCCAACACTACTTATTGGAGAGACTGTCTTCCTCCAGTTCCGATTTTGGTTCCTTAGTCGAGAATGAGTTGGCTGTAAAGCACGGATTCAGCACTGTGGTCTGTTAGCTTCCATGGCCTGTGTGTCTGCTTTTATGTGAGTGCCATGCTATTCTGGTTATTGTCGTGTGTCTCAAAATCGGGTATTTGGATGCCTCCAGCTCTGTGCATTTTTGTTCAAGATTGCCTCAGCAATCCGGGGTCTACTCTGCTTCTGTATGAATTTGATGATTGTTTTTTCCAGTTATGTGAAGAATGTTACTACTATTTTGGTGAGTGTTGCATTGAATTTCTAAATCTCTTTGGGGAGTATGGGCCTTTGAATGAAGCTAATTCTTCCAATCCATGAACGTGGATTGTTTACCTTTTTTGTGTGTCTTTTTCAATTCTCTTATTAGTGTTGTAACTTTCATTGTAGAGGTTAGAGGTCTTCCACGTCTTTCATTAAGCTTATAAGGTTTTTAGTTTACTTTTTGTAGCAATTGTGAAAAGAAAGGCTCTGAAAATGTTAGTATGTAATTGGTGTATAAAAATGTTACTGATTTTTGTGTGTTGATTTGTATTTTGAAACTTTACTGAATTTGTTCATTAGTTCTAATAGTCTTTTGGTGAAATTTTTAGATTTTTTTTTAAAGATGTTTTTATTTATTTGAAAGTCAGAGTTACCCAGAGAAGGAGAGGCAGGGAGAGAGGTCTTCCAACTGCTGGTTCACTCCCCAACTGGCCGCAACAGCCAGAGCTGTGCCGATCCAAAGCCGGGGAGCCAGGAGCTTCTGGGTCTCCCATGCAGGTGCAGGGGCCCAAGGACTTGGGCCATCTTCTACTGCTTTCCCAGACCATAGCAGAGAGCTGGATCAGAAGTGGAGCAGCCGGGACTCGAACTGGTGCTTATATGGGATGCCGGCACTGCAGGCGGCAGCTTTACCTGCTGCGCCACAGCGCCGGCGTGGATATACTATCATGTCCACTGCAAACAGGGAAAACTTGGCTTCCTTCTTGTTTCTGTTTCTTGTGTAATTGTCATGGGTGAAACTCCCAGCACTACACTGAATCACACTAGTAGAGTGGGTATCTGATTTCAGGTCTTGGAGGAAATGCGTTCACTATGATGTTGGTTTGTCACACGTAGCTTTATTTTGTTCAGGACTGTTCTTTCTGTTAGAAGAGGCAGCGTATGACGCCAAAGCCAGACCAGGTTTATTCAGAATAAAGCCTGGGAGGGGCTC